CACACATTTGTTACTTAAGTAGAAGTATAGATACTGCAGTTTAAAAACACTCTGGTAAAAGTTGAAGTAACAACTTGACCTTTTTACTCAAGTAAAAGTGAAAAAGTATGTGCTCTAAAAACTACTTAAAGTGTAAAATTATAAGGTAACCTTTAAAAAAACAGCCAGATGAAAATATATGAATTGAAAGCTCAATTTTACGACTATTTCAAAAAAATTCTTTGAGATTGGGCCAAGGATGAGGGAGGTCTTGTTGGTCTCCGTCTCCAGATACGCTCTCGCTTGTGTCCGACCTTTCAGACATTTCAACATCTTTTTCCGAATCCAACATTGTAGCATGGCATAGACAATTCACCTTTAAAGTTTGAAGAACACCTGCTTGCTTCTGATGATTTCCTTTAGCTAACCAATGAGTGTTTGCATTATATGTGACCCATCCAATTACACAAGTTTTCACTAGATGTGGATGGCGCCAATGATCTGCATTGGATGGCGCACATGACGTGAAATAAATATTTATAAACTTTAAACCAAAGCCAAGAGTAACAAGTAATGTTTGTTTTAAAAATATAAGGAATAAAAAGTATAGATATTTGTATGAAAATGTAATGAGTAGAAGTCAGAAGTTGGAAGAAAAATAAGTAATGGAGTTAAAGTATAGATACCTAAAAAATGTACTTAATTACAGTAACAAGGTATTAGTACTTTGTTACTTGACACATCTGTTTATTTATTTATTTTGTTTTTGCTGGTTTTCATATTCAAATAAATTTAGGCTAGATTGATGTGGCAACACTTTGGGTAGAAGTTTATAGAAAATAATATAACCGAGGTAAACTCTTGAGCTAGTTACTGAGACAATATATAGATTTGCACAATGAACACAAAACCTAGGAATGAATAAGGCTTTATTCAAGCAGTTCATTTTGCCGGTAACTGAAGCAAATGTCATAAATAGCATTCGATAAAAGATTCAAGTTTACTATTAAGATTAAAGGTAAAGAAAAAAAAAATCTAATGAACATTCAAGATAATTCCCAAAGCAGGTTCTTTTTTTCCCCTGTTCATTTATTGCCACTTATTTTTGCAAAAATTCTTAATGATCTGTAGAATAAGGTGTCTTCTAATTTTCTTTTTGAGTTTCCTTGAAAATTTTCCACCTACATTGATTTATTTTTCCTTCTATAACCCTTCTCACTGAATGACAGGCTTTACGGGATCTTTTATTTTCTACATTGAAAGCTGATTGGCAAATTGAAGATGTTAAATGCACTGTGTTATTTTTCTTAGCCTGTATTGTCTTGTCTTATCATAAAGCCATCGTCTCCCCATCTTCATCTAATCCACAATCACAATATGCTGGCTAAAATGTAATCAGTTAAGATTCAGATCATACAAATTTGTGGGTTTTTCTCCCTCGTCAGTCCAAAATTTAACCTGCTTTTTTCAAAGGACAAAGCAAAACAACTGTATCATGACTGACAAATTAAGGGAAGTCCTTTATCCTTTAATACGGATATTTGACAGCTGCTACGTGCTGTGAAACATTTTACTGCCATGGCTTGTGCCTACTTGCCATTTTAGAGGGATTGGTCACCAAATATCAATGCAAAAATGTTCAGACTTCTCTCTGTTAGCATGTTGATGCCTTGATTGGTGCTTTCCAGAGCATGTTTTAACAGCAGAAAGCTTTAGTAGGACCAAGGTTTAGTTTTCCTTTCTGGCTTATATATATATATTTACTTTTGATTAGAGTGATTTGCATTACATGCAGAAATGAAATCCCTCTCCTTCCTCTCAACTAAATGGGAGGATTACCATGTCATTATTATGACTTGAGTCAGCAACACAGCACTTCATGATGCTATTGGTGCAAAACACAATCTCCTTATCCCCTGAAGGAAAAGAAAGCTAAAATCCTATATTTAGGTGTGCATTAAGGTCCATTACCCAAGAGATGAGGCGCTTAATTCAAATCACTCCTCTTTTGTTGGGTGAAAGCCCCTGTTTTCATTTTTCTTTCATGCTAACTACATCTGAGAGAAGATAACCTTGTGATGAGATCAAGGAAGCTATATGGCCTTACCACTCACAAAGATTTTGCTGTAACTATTACAAATAATCCATGTCAAAATGGATTTTTTTTTTTTTTTACACAAAGATTGAATGTTAATGGGATTATTTTTTCCATATTCAAAAATATCTAGTTGTATGAATACTGGCTATACACAGTGCAACATTATTTTAGGTATTGTTTTTAGAAAAAAAGAGACAAAAAGTCTGCAAAGTCATCTGTGTTTTAATTGAACAGTGAGGTGAGAATGAGTCACTCCTGCAGCAGGAAATTTGAATTTAAGATTTAACCTTTAGGGTAGCTGTGATAACAAAATAACAGTCAGAGAAAAGGAATAAGTAAGAGGATATTCCAAAGGTTGTTTTTAAAACTTTTTAGCTTTGTTATTATTTATGTATTAACTTTAAGTTTAGTTAAACATACATTTGACTAATTTCTTCTACTGAATATAATTTTAAGGCATTTTCTACTGTGAGCTCTTGGAGCCAATCCAAAAAATGGTAAATTGTTGGTAATTGAAGTTTAATTACAGTGACTGATTCATCATTACTACTCTAAGATTATAATTATGTTATTCATGACAAGCCTGCTATGGATCGAGGAATACTGTTGTTTTTGCCCCTCAATCAAAACTCCCTGTTATTTGAACTTTAAAGGTGAAAGCTAACAAGTGGTGTTTTAACTTGCAATTCTAAGTCAGCAGGAGTCTCAGCAGGACTTCAATTTATTATAGATATGGACATTTTTGAGTCTTGTTATTTTAGAGCGATCTGGATGTTTTTAAATTTGTTAAGCTTCTGTCTTTTATGTGCTTTTTTCCCATATGGCACAGTCCAAAGTGGTTTAAAGAATGAATACTGATATTTTACCTTTTTTTTTTTTAAGGAAAAACAACTTAATTTTCAAGACATCAATATGGTTTTACAACCTAGAAATGTTGGTGGTGATATATGTGTTTAGTGGTTGGTATTATATTTTGTCTGGATTGCATTCGATTTTGCAAACAAAAATATTGGAAAAAATTGTTTGGCTTGACTGCTTGTCTTTAGCATCACAGGTTTGTGTGATGACAGAAATGTATCTAGAGGCTGCTATGTTTTTTTTTCTCAGTTTTTGAAAGAGATGCTTACACATTTACAGAAAACATATGTTTGAACTTATGCCTTTTTAAAACCTTCACCAAAACTTTGCATAACAGATATGCATTTTCTTCCTTTAAAGGGGTCTTAGAATGATTATATAGTTTTTTTGGTGCTGGTCCTTAAGGTCTCTGAGGTTTCTTCCTTTTATGGTATGCTCATGAATATTTAGATGAGCTGTGCGCTTATTGGTTGGTTTATAAAAGGAAGAAAACCTGCTGTTTAATTTTAGGCCTTTTAACCAGGCTTGCTTTTGGGCTCATAGAACAGCAAATATGCCATTTTCAGCCCAACCAATGTTACACACCCTATTCAGAGACCTTAAGGACCAGCACCAAATACCCTATATAATCATTCTATGACCCCTTTAATTAAACTATGTTCATTAACTACCTTTCACAACGTTAGGTCGTCTGTTTTTGAGAATATGCAGTAATTTTGGTCTTTATTGCAGCTGCTGTGACCCACAGAATCTTCACTTGTGAAGTTGATAAAGTGAGCCTTTAAGGCCTATTGCGTTGCTACGCTCTATGTAAATTGCTGTGAATGTTTGTTAACTAAATGCCTCCAATGTAAAATGAGATTGGCCTGAAAAAAGCTAATAGAGCTGAGTCTTTGATTAGCCTTGGAGCTGCTGCAGTGAGCTGACATGCTGGTTTGTATCGGCAGGGTCCCGCTAGCTCAGTTTGCCTGCTCACATGATATTGTTTCCTACAGGAAATACCCTAATTATTTATTGTTATTTTTTTTTTTTTTCTACCTGGAGTTAGTTTTCATCTCACCAACACTACTCACCGTAGCATCTCTGCTTGTCCTATTTTTCATCTCTTAGATCACATTTTTGTTTTTTTGTCATAAGCTTCTCCACATGATTTAAAAATCTGTGTGTGTTTTTCTAAGTATTCTTCGGTAATTCTTCTGCATGTCCTTTCTTGTTTTTTTTCTAATTTTCTTGTGCTATTCATTTATCTTGTTCCCCTTTTGGACTGATAAAAATTGTTTTAGTGGATGGTGGATAACGTGGTCTATTTTGGAGGCTCAGCAGCTCGTAATTGGTAGTTTTTACAGAACAAAGAAAATGGGATTTGTTTTTATCGTCGATGCAAATTCAATGAGACCCCAAAGTTAAATGAGTCAAAATGTTTTACTTAACCTTTGTGTATTGTTGATGTAGCTGCTACTTTCACTTAAAAAACTTAACATTTCAACCAAGTTGTCCAGTGTTTTCACTTTGCCAATATATCTATTTTTTCCATAAACTTTACATTAGATAAGTTGTAGAAATTGTATTTTTCCTATTTCAGCCTTATAGCTGATTGTCCCCTACACAAGAAGTGGACGTTTTTGTAGAAAAACATAAAGTACGTTTTGCTTCAAAGCATACAAATTTATGTTTAACATCAGTATTTGCAGTTGAGTAGTCAGGGACGAAACATTTCCTGATTTGGTCATTCATAATAGATTCAACCAATAAAAGCTACAAAGCACAAAGCTAAGATCTTAAAAAGTTTTCCATTATTCCATTATTTTTTCTTTTCTCAATGTTTTTCTCCAACTTTTTATGTCTTTCTTTATCATTAAACAATTAGTCATATCAGTGGAGGGCAAGGATTGGGTTAATTTTGAAGAAGGATCTCTAAAGGCAAATTTTGTACATTCCTTACTGTTAATAACTGATCGTGTTTAATAGTGGGTGACGTCACTGCTTAAATAATATGTGCCATTCCACTGTGCTAGTATTTATGATATATACCTCTGTAGTAATGGCTCATCCATTTGTCTTGAAGGTGGCAGTACAGGCAGCCAGCAGACCATTCTCCATGAGGAGCAGTGGAAGATGCAGGCTCTGCCAGCACTGCTGCTGTCGATTTATGTCGTCGTCCTGCTGCTGACTATGGCACCTCATCTCTTCAGCAAAGCCAACACCCTATCCGCCGTCCGAATGGGTAAGTACATCCGTAAATGTTTGATTCCTAAAATGTATTATATTTCTAAGTTTGCAAAGAAAACTAAACTTCACAACACAGCTCTTAAAATTGTTTAGCTGCCAATTGTTCAATCACAGTTCTACACTGATAAAATGCCTTATGTGAAAACTCATTAGGAAGGTTCATGCACTGAAATCTTGTATTTGAAAAGAAAATATTGGTTTTGTCTATAATTAAATTATTTTGTGTGTTTGTGTTGAATTAAAACTAAAACTGAATTGAATTGAAACTGAAAGCTAAGTTGTGCAAAAAGTCATCAGGATACTTCAATGGCTGTTTGCTCAAACACTCTGGTGAGGTTGCTCTGTTATATTATCAGGCATTACAAGAGGAGCGAAACATACTGCCACTCTTGCATAGGGATTTTTTTCCTAAACAAAGTCAAAAAGGTATTTTTCTGGCTGTCCTGAGAGTTTTTAATCAACAATGTCCACTAATATCTTGTTAAAAAACTTTATTGGTTAGTCAGGAGTGGCAGTTCTTCTAACAACCAGATGGTCATAACATAACTTTCATCTTTCAGTAAGCCTTTAAAGTAAGTTAGTTAAGATAGCTATCTTAAAAAAAAAATGAACAAATTTATTTTTAAATCCCTCTTTAATCCACTGAGATTCCACCTAAAGGATCCTTTTAAAACACATCCATGTGTTCCATTTCCTTCTGAAACATTCAGTCTCAGGGAGGGAGGCCCGACAGGCCCGCTGAGGGAACAAATCCCTGGGGTGCATCAGTGATGATTGGTCTTGTGTGGAACAATGTGCTCCCCAATTTCACTTATCACTGCCAGCCTGTCAGGAAGGTGGAGATCCAAGTAGACTGCATCTTCTAATGACTTGTTTTCCTTAAGTTTTTATTTTTGTTTAATTCAAACCTCCAAAAATGTAAAAAGTTCCAACTTTAAAAAGAAAACTGACCCCTATAGGCATCAAACGTTTTGTTTTTCTGAGGAAGATCCTTACTGTAAGCAAGACCTGATCATAAGCAAAGTCTGCAGCACTACTACAGATTACTTTAGACTAACAGACTAACACTGCTGTTCAGAGTAAATATTTTTTTCCTAGTTATGGATCAGTGTCACAGACACAGAACGTTGAATCATTTCCCACCTCTGTTGCTTTTACATATATCCAATTTCATGTTTTGAGTAACTGCATGTAAACCAATGCATTCCTATATTTGTTTTCTACAACAGTCAAAAAAAAAAAAACCTCCAAAGGTTTCTTCTGTTTCTCTCCCTGTCAGCCACTGACAAGGGGCGCCTACAGCTGCTCTGCACATGCTGAGTTGGAGAGGTGAATATATGGCGGTAAAGCTTCTGATCTTTTGTAAAAAGGGTTGAAACAGAAAACAAAATATGGTTAGAATACAGCATAGATGAGGGCAAAAGAGTGTGTGCATTACCTGTAATAAAAACTATCAATGGCACTAAAACAAAATTGCGTTAACGAGGATTTAACTTTGACAGCTCTAAGTATGTTGAATTGACCAATTGCTGAATGGAAGTGTTTATGGATGGGTGTGATGGCCCCGTGTTTCATCCAGATTGCACAGATCTTGTAGACTTACTGAAAAACACCTAAAATAAGAAAAAAAATCTCTCAGTTTGTTTGAATCTCTCAGTATTGCTAAAAGCTTTTATTCTCTTATGGGATGGTTTTTCCAGACCTCTCTTATAATGTGTACTGCACACTTGTTTGGCTCTTAAACAGACGGAGAAATGGATATTTTTATCCTTTTTAACTATGAGGTTAATTTAAGAGCATTAACTTTGGAATCAGAGAGAACAGAGACGTTATACCAGTCATATGCAGGACTATTGAAAAAAAATACCCAACAATGGGCTTAGAGGAGTTTATTTTGGATAACACGCAGACATGCTGTAAGTTCATGTATCAGTCCCGACTGGCCACTAGTTATTTATGTCTTCTCCATGCATTTGTAACACACGACCACGACTAACCGATGTTTTCAGTAACTGTTTTGTGAGAAACTGTAATGGAAATACAGTTTATACTCCATTTCCTCTTAGAGCAATATAATTGCTTTAAATTCCTGCATGAAGCTCTGTTGCATGTGGTTATCAATAAAAACATTTCCCTGATTAGGTTATTAACACAAATTATACCCGCTCTGTCAGAAGAAAACCATTTGATCAGCTGTGTGTAGTTAAATCCAAAACGTCTTCAGCTCCCAAAGCTTCCTTAAATATATCTCTCTCCTCAATAACATCCTCTTGTGCTAACGCGTACCTGCAAAAACACCTTTTGAAATATTCAGGGAGCAGGAGTGATTCTTAAACTTGAGAAAATTGATAAATAGCTTTTATTCTTGAGGATAGGAGTACGACCCCGGATTTTTTGACTCAAGTGTGTTGAAGTAGACACATCTTAAAAGGCCACAAAACTTTATGGACCAGAATTGATGACCCCTGGCTATAGTTTATGGTAGCAGTACATTCATTTACTGTAGGCTGGCTAGAAAAGAAACACAGTTAAACAGACAAACAATAGAGTTTTTAGCTGGCTATAGGAGCTGATGATATGTAGATGTAAATAACTGTGCAGATTTGTGATAGAGAAAAGGGAAAAAAATGCAATTTTTCTTACATTTATGTGGATAATTTAGGAAAAAAAAGGTTTCAAAATGCCTGTGGAGCACATTTAAATCTTAATGACTTAATTCATTTAGGGATTATTATTTCCAATTATTTTCATTACAAAAATGTTTGATAGCTGCAGTTTTATGGTTCTCTATTTTTTTTCAATTAAGACGCCTTTGAAAACATAGGTGTCCTCTGGATCACCTCTGTTTTTTTCACCCTTGTTCTACTCCCAGTTGTTCTGTGTTGCCACTTGTGTATCCCTCCCATTACTCTAGCATAAAGCCTTTGTTTTGTTTCTGTGTTTAAAAATCTCTAATGGCTTCTCTTTGGCTCCTTCATTAATAGATTCGTTTTTTTCTTGTTCCCTCTGTACAATATTTTGTTTTAAGTCTGTGTTTGATAATTCGTAAGCCAAAACAAACTCCAGCAGACTCAAATAAGAGTGTAGCTCTGTGATTTTCCCTCATCATTCTCACCAGGGCCCATGTGGAACTCTGAGATCATGACCCAGTTCTACTCATCCTCTTATCATCCCACAGTAGCGGATTAACTTTTGAAACTGAAAACCCTTGTTATTGACCTTAAACTCCTGTCCCCTAAATAAGATCCTACACATCTTCTAATCCCAATTTTAACAGCCCTATGTTCAAATCCATTTTGGTCTTATATTGAGAAACTTGCCATGCCATGGCAATTGGGTCAGTGGTAGTTTTTATTAATGCTTACCTTTTCCTCTTCGTCTAATCCAAGTTTAGGACTAAACTCTCACTCACTTTGAGCCGAATTATGATGTCTGTGTTATGGCTCTACTTCATGTACATGCTTGTTAAAGATAATCTTAAAAAAGAAGCCAGAAAAAGACTACTGAATAGATAGCAAAACATATACACTCTATTAACACTCTATTGTGATGGCGGGGAGGTTGATGACGTTGTCAGTGTTAGGTTTCAGGGGTGTATTGGATCCCAGTGTTTCCACATTCTTTATATTGTGATAGGGCACAGTGAGAGGGCATCCCTCTGAACCTCACCATAATATCCGCTGGTTTTTGCATGTTAGGCATTATGTTCCTCTAGCTGCATAAGACAGCCGGTAGATCAACATTCTGTCTGTAGGCTTAGTTACTACCGTTCCAGATGAAGCAGATGAGCATTCTGTTGTCGGCAAATTTCAGGAGTTTGTCAAATGTATTCCATCCCTCAGTCATTGGTAAAAGCAGAAATGGGAGTTCACACACCCCTTTGGGGACACCTGTGCTGGTTGATTGTGTGCTAGGTGTAGAGACTTACATTCCGACTCCTGTCAATCAGGAAGTTTGTGATCCAATGAAAGGTGGAGCATGATATTGTGATCTGGTTGAGTTTGATGCTGAGGATGTCTCTGAGGGTTTGGTGTTTAAAGCTGAGCTGAAGTCCATAAACAAGATCCTTGCATTTTTCACTGACGCTCAAAGTGATGCCAGATGTAAAGCTGTCTCAGGTCTCCTCCATCATTTACTGTATACAAACTGCAGGGGGTCCAACAAGGGGCTTGTAATGTTCTTCAAGTGGCCTCAAACCAGCCTCTTAAAGGACTTCATGATTACAGATATTAGGGCAATAGGCCTGTAGTCATAAAATCCATAAATACTTTTTTTTTTTGGTTGGACTGAGATGAATGTAGAGTTTATGAATCAGGTGGGAACTTTGCCCAGCTCCAATGAGAATCTCTGTAAAGATGGATGCCAGGGGTTTATTACTCTTAATACAGTTCTGTGTTTATTGTGTGTTCTTTGATTGTCTTGTTTGTGTAATAGTCTTATGCTTTGTATGTGAGTTTCAAGAAAGCGTGGCAATTTGGCTGTTTTTTTTAGAGTTGGACTGGTTTTACATTGTGTTTGAACCATAAAATCTGAGTAGGCTCTCCCAAGCTTGTCACTACTGCAAAACACTGGATGCTCCAACAGGTTAGATAGTGTGTAATGGTGTCTATGTAAGACAACATTACACTTTGATTCTGCTTCCATCACACAGTGAGGCAACAAGCAGAAAACCCGTCAAACAGTAGGCTTGAGCACGAGTTGGCCCTTTAGCACTGCTCCCTAGCCTTGCAATCAGCCTACATGCTATATCGGATACCCCAAAACGTAGAGATGGTTTTATGTTTTTTTTCTCCACTATATAATAAGTTAAGTGCTTTATTTGAAAAAAATCCAACACAGTAATCCTGATCTGTTTTGGTTGGCCGAAGGTGGAATATTCAGCTGGTTGTTTAAGAACACAATTTTTGGTGTAGCTGGATATATGGAGCAGGCATGGAAAATGAGATTGAAAATCTTTTAACCGGGTAAGTTCTAAAAACAACTGGTGTATTTGAA